CCCCCCCCCCCCCCCGCCTCTCTCTCTTAATATGAAAGTCCCACTGGTTGTTCTTGGAGCTGTAGACAGCGGTTCTCAAACATGAGCGTCACCTGGGGGCTCAGGTGCATCAGAGTCACCTGGAACGCTTGTTAAAATGCAGATTCCTGGGCCCCAGGGTTTCAGATGAGCCTGTAGGTCCAGGTGGGGCTGGAGAGGTTGCATTTCTAAGGATTCCCCAAGTGATGCTGGCGGTCTCGGGACCACCCTTCAAGAAGGACTGTCTTAGACCCTAGGTCTGCGTCTCCAAGTGACAGGTAGGGCGGGGGGATGGTGTCTCCACCAGGTGTCACCCCGAGAAGACGCCAAGATCTGTGTGTATGTAGTTCTCCACTTTTCCTTTGACGGAGCATATCCAGTCAGAGTACCGTGTTCAGAAGTTACTTGGATGAGTTCTGTCCCGCCCTTCAGTGTGATTTTTGTACCTCACCTAAAGTATGGTTGGGCTCAGGTATTTCTCTTCGCTTTTAGTTTTTTTTTTCTGTTTTTGTTTTTGTTTTTTCTTCCCATCCCTGTTGATTGGATTGTTTGAATACGTAGCATTCTAAGAGTCAAGATGTGCAAAAAGGTATGTTGGAAATGCCCCTCCTGTACTTCCCCTCCACTCCCTGTAGGTCACAGACCCCACTAGTTTCTGGCTTTCCCTTGCAAGAAGCAAGCAAATGATCATTTATATTTGCCCGTGTGGTTTTCTAATTTACCCTCCTTTCTCACACAAAAGGGAGCCTGCTATGTATACTTGAAAGCGGTTTTTTATGTCGTTACATATCCTGGAAATCACTCCATATCAATTTAAAGGCACGGCCCTCATTTTTTTTTTTTTAATGTTTATTTATTTTTAAGAGAGAGCGTGTGCCAAGCAGAGGAAGGGCAGAGAGAGAGAGGGAGACGCAGAATCCGAAGCAGGCTCTGGGCTCTGAGCTGTCAGCACAGAGCCCGACGTGGGGCTCGAACTCACGAGCTGTGAGATCATGACCTGAGCCGAAGTCAGACACTTAACCGACTGAGCCACCCAGGCGGCCCCCCCCCTCATTTTTTTTTTTAATACACCTGCATCCTAACTCCCTGGACGATGCCACAGTTTGGCCAAAGGTTGCTGATACAATTTTGCAATTACAAATCCTGTGCCAGCGAATAACTTTGGGTTTTGTATTGTTGGGGGTCTGCCTTCCAGGCAAATGCCTAGAAGTGGGATTTTTCTGGGTCACGGTAAATGCTATGCGGTCGGGTTTAGAGGTGGCCCTATTTCCCTCCATGGGGAAACAGCCTGTTGTCTCACCAGCAGCAACAGAGGAGAGCGGCTCTCATGGAGCCTAAAGATGACAGCCGTGCATTAGTTTGTCATCTTCGTCATTAACTTTCCACCTCCCTGGAATTATATTTTTGGTTTGTTGGTGAGAAGCATGTACCAAACACAGATCATCCCTAGAGTTAAAACCCACCTTTCTCTTGTTCCCCTATATAGTTTTCCGGAATAGTTCCAGAGTAGCCCATGCATATCGGAGTTGAGACATTTATCACACCGGCATTCTGTTTTGTAGCTATATGTTCATTAATTCCACGCATAGGGAAAGTCAAAGATCGTTGCCAGACCTTTTGTACATGATGTGCTCATTCTTAAATACTTATATATTTTTTTAACGTTTACTCATTTTTGAGAGAGGGAGACAGAGCACAAGCAAGGGAGGGGCAGAGAGAGAGGGAGACACAGAATCTGAAGCAGGCTCCAGGCTCCAAGGTGTCAGCACAGAGCCCGACGCAGGGCTCGAACCCACGGATCGCGAGATCATGACCTGAGCTGAAGTCGGACGCTTAATCGACTGAGCCACCCAGGCGCCCCCTAAATACTTATTTTTATTTGTCTTGCTTGGTGTGAGTAAATCTTTAAGTAGCTCTTCCCTCCCCACCATCCTGAGAGATGAAGGTTAGTAGACTAATCCCCACATCCTTCTCTATCTGCGACTCTTTGGTAGTTTTTACAGGTGAGCGATTGAACCGTCGAGTTTGGAACTCCTGTGTGTCACAGCACTTTCTTCTCAAATCCCCTCAGATGTAGCTCTGAGACATCATCTGAGGTCCACCTGTTTTTTTCCCCCCAGACCTTTCTAGGTAACCTCATTTGTTTCTATTTGGATCTCCGGAGAGATCAAAATTTAAAGTTTAATTTTAGAAAATTTGTATACGTTTATATACTTGCTTTGTTAATTTTTCCAACATTTGACGAGGTTTTTTTTTTTCCTATCTGAAAACCAGGGTCATTATCTTGAAAAGGTTTTCTTTCTATGCGCTTTAAATTTTTTTTAGCGATTGTTTAATTTTGAGAGAGAGAGAGAGCACGCACAAGTGGAGGACAGGCAGAGAGAGGGAGACAGAATCCAAAGCAGGCTCCAGGCTCTGAGCTGTCAGCACAGAGCCCAACGTGGGACTCAAACCCATGAACCACGAGATCATGACCTGAGCCAAAGTTGGATGATTAGCTGACTGAGCCACCCAGGCGCCCCTATTCCTATATGCTTTAAAATAATATTTATATTCCATTTATCTGGAGTTTTTCCCTTTAAGTTCATCAGATTTCCATAAGCTAGGATTCTATTTTCTCTGTACAATATAACATTACCTTCATATGTTCATACATATTTAAAAAAAAATTTTTTTTTTGAGTTTATTTTTGAAAGAGACAAAGCATGAGCAGGGGAGGGGCAGAGAGGGAGAGAGAGGGAGAGGATCTCGAGCAGGCTGCTTGCTGTCAGCGCAGAGCCCAACACAGGGCTCGATCCCATAACCTTGGGATCACGATCTGAGCCGAGATCAAGACTCAGGTCCTCAACCGACTGAGCCACCCAGGCGCCCCACACTTTCAGCTGTTACCCCTCTTCCTTGGTGTCCTTCCATGGCTTCTCAAGCCCATCCGCCGTATTTCATTCGTCTGTGTTGATTTGGTTCTTAAGTATTTACATCATTTTCGTACCACTACCCATTCATCTCTACCTCCTACTTCATCGCGTTCGTGTTTCTTTCATTTAATTGCAAACAAGGTGGCCTTTTTCATAATCACTCCTGTTTCCTTTATTAAAGCTTCTCTCTCTCTCTCCCGCCTCCTCTCCCCCTCCCCTCTGTGCCCCTCCCCCCTTCTCTCTGATAAAGAAGGTTCCCTCCCATCAAGATATTCATCCCAAGCCACCCCCTCTGGTGCCCTCACAGTGTGTTTACTTTAACACGTGGAGTTTTTCCTCTCCTGTCATTAGCTGGGGAGCTGGTTATGGTAAATTTAGGATTACAACTCCGGGTCCGCATACCCTGGAGGCCCTGTATCTCAGAAAGCTCTACCAGAGAGCTTTCTGCTTATTTTTTCCCTCTCAGCCTGCCATTTCCCTCATGTCAGGACCACGGCGTGGCTCTCTGGGAACCCTCCTGGAACAGTCACCCAGGGCGTTACTGGAAAGGGGCCTCTGTGTCATGAGACGACATGGCGAGGGAGAACCAGGTACAGGTCTCCTGCGCCTAAGTGGTTTCAACAGCCGGGTGACTTCTTCCACAGGCCACCGCCACCACCATCGCCCTTCTGCCGCAGGGTAGCATTTTCTGAGGAGGAGGGTTTAGGAATTAACCATCATTTTTTCCCTCCAGTCTGTTCCCGTTTAGTTCAAGCAGACATTCGTGAAACTTTTGCGGCCACGATTCCCACTAATTCCGTGTTCCCTTGACCACTTCTACCCAATTCATTTGGTTCCGACCTCATACCACCCCACCACTGTTCCACAAGCTTCCCTGTAAATGTTTGGTAACCGTCTCTCTAATGGCTGGCACGCAGTAGACCTCTGCACGGTACCGATGAGCGTCTGCCCGGACACGTTCTCCAATCCTGTGGCGTGGTTTCCCATCTTAGGTTCAACGCCATCTTTCCAAACTCTTTGACAACATGGCCAAGATGGAATTCCAGCTGGACGCCAGTGAGAAAGCGACCAAGATAAGTCTGGGCATGTACAGCAAGGAAGGAGAGTACGTGGCCTTCAGCGAGCCCTGTGACTGCAGTGGCCAGGTAGAGTAGAAGTCCTTTGCCCTCCTCATCCCGTTCTCTCACAAGTATCAGGCAACCTCAACTTTCAGGATGGCCATTTCAACCTTGGGCCGGAACTGCTGTCTGGGCCCTGGGACTGCCAGCTCCTCTCAAACCGACGTTGGAGGAGCTCCTGGTGCCTGCCCTCCCATCTCTGGGAAGGACACATGTCAATATTCGTATATCTTTCTTAACCAAAGACCTGTGCAGAGAGGAATGAAATGCGCATAAACAACTACCCAAGTCGAGGAGAAAAGAATTTTTTTTTCTTTTTTTTTTTTCAACGTTTTTATTTTTGGGACAGAGAGAGACAGAGCATGAACGGGGGAGGGGCAGAGAGAGAGGGAGACACAGAATCGGAAACAGGCTCCAGGCTCTGAGCCATCAGCCCAGAGCCCGACGCGGGGCTCGAACTCACGGACCGCGAGATCGTGACCTGGCTGAAGTCGGACGCTTAACCGACTGCGCCACCCAGGCGCCCCAAGAATTTTTAAATGATTAGCAACACCAGGAGACTTTAACGTGACAACCCCTGGGGCACCCCATTGGCACACTGACGTCTTCCCCTGGAGAAGACGTTCTTTGAGATCAGCCGTTTTCCTGGGATGTCATTTCTCTGTACAAATACAGCTCAGAGTCACTTCCTCCCACAGTCCTACCCCTGGGAGAGCCAAATACCATCGTGCTCCAAGAACTACTACTTCTAAATGTCCCGTGTACAATTCCAGAAACACAAAATATGGGGCACTCTCTCCTAAAACTTCCTTCTAGCCTCCCCCATCACCACTAGAGTATAAGCTATGTGTCTGTTTTTTGACCAGAAGGCATTCAGTTGGAAAATATAATTCTGGTTTACATCTCCATACTGAGTGTGGACAGGTTATGAAAACCCACTGACTGAGCGAGGTTGACCTTGCTTAGCCCAGACTAACACTTCCTTGTCTGAATGCCAGATGGCAGCTCCCCTCCCCTTGACCAGCTACTGTGTCCTGTGTGTTCCAAAGGGGCCTGTCCACCTGTTGTTAATTGAGCCTGGTTCTCACCGACCGCCATCCTGGGCCACAGAAACAAGACGGCTCCCTGTGCCTTCTGGCGGCCATTGGGCCGATGGCTGGGCTCCATATTCTTGTCTCCCTCTGGGTGAGCGATCGTATCCTTTCCGGAATCCAGCATCTAACTTGGAGTTCTTCTTTCAGGTGGAAATATGGTTGAACCATGTGCTCGCGCATATGAAGGCCACAGTGAGGCATGGGATGACAGAAGGTGTAGTTGCTTATGAAGAAAAGCCAAGGGAACAGTGGCTCTTTGACTATCCAGCTCAGGTATTCTAACCAGGAGCTTTGTGGGCCCCCCCTCCTTGCCAGGTCCCCTCCCTCAGGGAAGTCCTTCGGCCTTGAGGGGATACCAGACCTCAAACTCACTATGTGCTTCACACTCCAGAAGGCCTGGTCTCTGAATTGTCAACTAAGACTTAGTCCAGCCATTACCCTGAAGAACCTGGGATTGTCCGTTTTTACCCTCTCTGGCCACCACGGGGAGAAAACGTAAACCATTCAACTCACTGAGCCAGCCTGCTTTGTATATGCCGAGATCTTTGCTGAGCAAAGGGGACCCCAACAGGGAACGAGACCTCATAACCCTGCCTTGCCGGAGTTTACAGACTTGGCAGGGAAGCCAACTCGCTTACAAATGAACACATAGCTAGCTGGTGGGGTCCGGGGAGCCCCCCCCCCCACCTCTGCCAAGGATATGATATGTAAGCTGAGATTTGAAGTAGGAGCTAACAAGTTAACGATGGAGGGAAAGAGCAACCAGTATGGGGAGGACCTTGAGCTCAGAGGCAAGGAAGAGCATCCTGTGGTTGAAGAACTGAGTGTGGTTTGCAGCAAGAAGGGAAAGAAGGAGCCTGAGCCAGCTGATGGTTCCTACAGAGGAAACTTGAAGCCAGTTCTTACCCACCCCGTTAGGGAGTCTGACTTGCTTCTAAAATGTGTCCCAATCCTTTCCAGGCTTCCCAGGAGGGCGAGGAGGGAAAGGGGCAAATTAATGAGAAATGGCTGCGGTAGACCCTCCCCCCACTCCCCGCCCCCCCGTTAGGGGCACAGTGCCCGAGCTGGGGTGTTTGAGGGTTGCAGGCACTTACCAGGAATGAAGCCACAGGAGTAGAGAAGACTGGTCTTGGAAAAGACGCAGACCCAAGATGAGGGTGCAGAAGAGTCAGTCCCTTGGGCATCATGTAAAGACTGGATAGCCAAGGAGGAGCCAGTAAAGCAGATTGAGAAACGGTGCCTTTTCAGGTAGAAGGAACACCAGGGGATGGTCGCATTGGAAACCAAAAGCCGGCCAGAGGTCAGCCATGCCACGTGCTTATAAGAGATCAAGGAAAATAAAGAGGCTGGGGAGTGTCTGTGAGCTTGGTGTGGCCATGTCCATGGAGTGCAAGGTGGTGGCGCATTGCAGGGGGCAGAGAAGGGAGAAGAAGGTGGGGAAATGTTGGCAGCGAGTGTAGACTAACAGAAACGAGAAATAAGTCAGGACTACTGCAAGGATTCTTTTGACGATGCAATGGGTGCATCGCGTTCAAAGCATCCCAGCAAGATCTCTGGCAAAACCCCACGCGCCTGATCCCAAAGGCGAGAATGGTCCTTTTTACTACGACAGGATTCTCTGTTTGACAAAGGGAATGATCCCCATCAGGATTCTTTGTTTACCTGAATCAGACTTTTGAGGCAAGAAAATGTGTCGCCTCCTGCTCTTGTGACAGGTCTCATCTAGAGCAGTGTCTCCCCAACCACGGGATGCTACAGACGATCGGTGTGTCTAAAGTCTCCACCGTGAATAATTCGAATTACGCATTTTCCGTATCAGGTTGCTCAGCAAACGGAAGTCGTGTTTGTTCAAATCCCTTCTTCCATTCCTTTATTTTGACTCTCTGAAAAACACAAATCCCACTGACCACGTTGAATTTTGCTGCCATTCACCTTGGTCTCCAGGAGTAGGCTTTTCAAGGTTATAGGGTCCGAGAAATAAAAACCATACACAGCCAAAGCGTTACGGGCAGGCAAAAATACGCCGCAAATGATCATCAGAGGCTCACTAAGCTAGAACAGTCAGACCGCGGGAAGTTTAAGAAGAACAGAACAAAGACCAAGTGTTGTTGAGATGTTCAGTCAACATAGTGTTAACCTCCCAAGCCCAGGAACGATGCTTTGCCTGGGGAGTAAAGATGGAGAGATCAGAGTAGCAATTTCTAAAAGCCACTGACATTGACCAGGGGGACTCTTTGGTCGTTCTCAGCCGAACGATACATTTTTTTCCCCGAGCAGAAAGTGCTTTCCCCGCTCGGAACCACTTCACGTCTCCAAGGAGACAGAGGCCAGTGGCTCACTTTGTCAGTGCTGGCAGAAGAGGGAGGGAAGGGGCTGAGGGCACCCACACAATCGCATGCTGACTCTCGCTGTGTGATGAGTGGGCTGGCTTCGGAGACAGTCCTGGCAATGGCTTTGCTAAGCGGCTCCTGGTGCCACAGGTGGCCCTGACCTGCACTCAGATCTGGTGGACCACGGAGGTGGGCATTGCGTTTGCCAGGCTGGAGGAAGGCTACGAGAACGCCATGAAGGACTATCACAGGAAGCAAGTGGTGCAGCTCAAAACCCTCATCACCGTGTTACTCGGCCAGCTCTCCGAAGGGGACCGGCAGAAGATTATGACCATATGCACCGTTGATGTGCACGCCCGGGATGTGGTGGCCAAGATGATCGCTCAGAAGGTGAGTCCCAAACGTTCGGGAGCGTCCCTCTTTGTCGCCAGCTATACCGTGAACGGTGGGATAAGGGAGAAGCTCGCATACAGCCCACACGTGGGGGTCCCAGACTCTGCCCCGGCCAGAGAGCTGGGGGAGGGTCATGGCGGCTGCTCCCAGCGAACGTGTGTAATTAGCATGCTCTCTGTGCTGTGGTGGGCGCAGCATGGACTCCTGACCGGTAGGCAAAACCCAGCTCATCCAGAGCCCCGCGTGGCCTGTGGCCAAGGGGCCACCGGCGGAACAGCGATTGAGCCCCCTCCTCTGCGCTCTCTCTTCAGGTGGACAATGCTCAGGCCTTCCCCTGGCTGGCCCAGCTGCGGCACCGTTGGGACGACGAGGCCAAACACTGCTTTGCCAACATCTGTGATGCGCAGTTTCTATATTCCTACGAGTACCTGGGAAATACGCCTCGCCTGGTGATCACGCCTCTGACAGACCGGTGAGCACTGGCATCAGCCACTCACAGAGAACCCGATTGGTGTCCGGGTCAGGCCGTCTTAACGGGCCGCTGCCCCTTGCTAGTTGCCCACAGAGCTGTAGGGAGGGAGCCCCTGCCCACACGACACACGTAAAAATAAAACTTGAAGGAGGAAGGGCAGAACCCTTCTCAGGGCAAATCTGTGAGCTGTGATTTTTTTTTTTTTTGAGGAATTTACTAGGGGAGAATCCCATACCCCTGGGTTCTCACACCAGCTCTAACACATACCGGCTACTTGACCTTGAAAAACTTGACCTAATGCTTGGTTTTTCTCATCTATGAAATGGAGGCAGTTACTTGTTAAACTGGTCTGGGATCCCCATATCGAAAACAAAACCAAAAAAAACTACTGATAAGAATTCTGGAAAGTGGAGTTTTGTGTATAGAAGGCTGGAAATGGGGAAAACCCAAGATATGTTCCTGGAAGAGGGGGAGACGCTTGACTTGGGGGGCGATGTGATTGGCCATAAGCCTGGTAAGGTGGGTCCGAGTCAGGCTATAAATATGCAGCATACATTTTTTTAGCCAGTAAGTAGCGATAAACTATTGAAAATTTTTCATCAGCCGAATAAAACGATGGAAACTGTATTTCATGGAGACTTATCTGAGAGCACAGCGTGGGCAAAGGAGAGCGAGGACGGGATATTTTAATTCTGTTGAGATTTCCGTAAATTCTGCTATGAGCTGGTGCCCTTTTCCCGTATAATTTCATTGAGCACTAAATCTCTTCTCCAAAGAGCTGCATGTCTGAATGGCCGGCTTATTCCAAATAAGTGACTTGTAGACGGTGAAAAGATTGTCATCAGTGGTGAAGGCTAGAGTGGCCACGTAGAATCTGTGTCATCTCTTACTGAATTTCCCCCCTGCCTGTTTTTAAGCGTTTCCACCTGTATTCTGGCCAAATCCTCAGATGTATCTCCAAGGAACATTGAATGGAGTTGCGATCGCGGCATTCGCGGCATGACCTGGGATGTGGGAAAATCCCAACATCATCCATAGAGCAGGACCTCATGGTTGATCTCTTCCCCCCGCCCCCATGCTGTTCCTTTCCTTAATTCGTTTTCCTGCCCAGCCTGGAAGGATCTTCCACCCAGAGTCCATTCCACGTTTGCTCTTGTCTTTCTCTCCTTTCATTTTTTGTGGGAGCCCGCAGAGGTCGCATCGCTGTCTCAGGTCACTCTCCCCCGCACTTAGGAATGGAAGCTCTTTGCAGTCGGGGAGCTCTGTCTGTCTGACTTGTTGCTATGTCACCAGCCACCTGCTAGATGTTGGAATTGATACCTGTCGAAGGAATGAATGGTGCTTGAATATTGAAGACCTCTGTGGTAAGAATAGACAGAATTAAGAATAGGAGGTTGACTCAGGAGGGGGATCCACACAGGACTCTCTGCCTTGGCTCCCAAAGCTCCCAAAGCTACTCTGTCCTCTGCCCTGATGCGGGGACCAATACTCCCCCCTGCCCCAGCTTTGGACGAAAGGCAGATAACACCTGTTCAGAGGGAGATGCGGGTCTCTCTGCGGCTGGGACAGTATCGGCAACGGCAACTCAGAGTGTTCGGGCACCTTAGGGTTGCACTTGGCCTTCACTTGGTATCAGTCCATTAGAGGCGCTCATTCACTGCGGGCCAAAGGGAAAAGTGTTCCCGCGTCAGGCTTCATTCAGAGCGGACCCTCTCGTGTGTCGTGGTTATTCTCAGCAAGACACGCACCCTAAACAGGAAGGAAATGGGGTCCGGGATTCTCTCTTGCAGTGAGTTTTCCTGCAGCCTTGGAATATAAGCTAATAGTTTGGGAATTCCTAACGCTCGCAACAGAATCACGAAGCTGTTCTGTATCTGAGCAGTTCGACGAATGTCCGCCTCTGACTCTAGACTGTATGCTCCGGGGTAACGTTGACTTCAATGTACTGGCTGTTCTACCCCAGGGGACCCGGCGCTGTGATAGGCATTCAAGTTCACTCCTTGACCGAATTCAGTGGAACGATTTCTGACACAATGCACCCCAACTTCTCCATCCCCAGTCAGAATATCTCCTTCCTTTCCATGGACATAGCAGACACGATCATTCCAAGTGATAAAAAGTCTAAGACTTTTTTCTTTTCCCTGGGTCGTCACGCCCGCCCCAGCGTTGAAGATAATTACCTCTTTTGGATTTAGAAGTCTCTAGTACACGAATGCTGAAGGCCTCTGGAAAGGGAGAGGGTAAAGCTCTGGCAAGGAATTCTCTCCAAAACAGGATTTTATCACCCCTCCTATGAAACGATGCAAAAAAAAAAAAAAAAAAAAAAAAAAAAAAAAAAAAAAAGAACTAGAAAGGAGGACTTAACACAAATAATGGTGAATACTGTACAGACCTTGACCTCGTTTGGCTCTTTAGATGCTTTTCTGACAAAGTGGTACGTAGTGAATATTTATATGTAAAATTCCATTTTCTCATTGACTTCCATTATTATCTCGAAATGTTTTGCCCGGGAAAAAAAAAAAAAAAAAAA